TTCCAGGCCAGCTCTATGTGCAGTGGAGGATGGCCCAAGTGCTTGGGCCCTGCACCCCATGGGAGACCAGGAGAAGCACCTGGCTTCTGGCTTCGGATCAGCGCGGTGCACCGGCCACAGTGTGCCGGCCACGCTGGCCATTGGAGGGTGAACCAACAGCAAAGGAAGACCTTTCTCTCTGTCTCTCTCTCTCACTGTCCACTCTGCCTGTCAAAAAATAAATAAATAAATAAATAAAGTAACTTGTGGTTACTTTAAAAAAAAAAAAGTTAATGGAGGCCTGCGCCGCGGCTCAATAGGCTAATCCTCCACCTGCGGCGCCAGCACCAGGCTCTAGTCCCAGTCGGGATGCCAGATTTTGTCCCGGTGCTCCTCTTCCAGTCCAGCTCTCTGCTGTGGCCTGGGAGTGCAGTGGAGGATGGCCCAAGTCCTTGGGCCCTGCATCCCATGGGAGACCGGGAGAAGCACCTGGCTCCTGCCTTCGGATCAGCGCGGTGCGTCGGCCTCAGCGGCCATTGGAAGATGAACCAATGGCAAAGGAAGACCTTTCTTTCTGTCTCTCTCTCTCACTGTCCACTCTGCCTGTCCAAAAATAAAATAAAACATCTAAATTTCAGCCAAATACTCTGCCTTTTGTTCTGAGGTGTTGTGCTAATCTTTGTAAAGATGTATGTATTTGAAAGGCTGGTTCACTCCCCAAGTGATTGCAGCTGCCAGGGAAGCCAGGAGCCAGGAAATCCATCCAGGTCTCCCATGTGGGGCCTAGGCACTTGGGCCATGTTCTTTTGCTTTCCCAGGCTTGTTAGCAAGTAGCTGGATTGGAAATGGTGAGTTGAGCTACTGCTCCAATACAGTATGCTGGCATCTGCTGGCATCTCCAGCCCTGTGTTTGTTTTGCTTTTTTTCTTTTTTATATGATGGGTTTATTTATTTGAAACAGCAACAGTGAGAGAGAGAGAAATCAAGATCTTCCATCTGCTGGTTCGAATGGCCACAATAGCTGGATCTGTGCCAAGCTGAAGCCAGAAGTCATTACTTGTCTCCCACAGTGGCAGGGCTCAAGTACTGGAACCATTATCTGCTGTGTTTCCAGGTGCATTATCAGGAAGCTGGGGTGGAAGCAGAGCAGCCTGGAATTGAACTGGCACTCCAAATGGGACACCAGATACCTCTATCACAAGCAGCTTCTTAACCAGCTGTACCACAGTGCTGGCCCTGTGGGAATTTTTTGGGCCACAGTTTGAAAACTAATTGTCTATTAGTTCGTGAATTCCCACTATCCTCTAAATTCTGTTCTTCATATTCTTTTTTTTTTTTTTTTTTTTTTTTTTTTTAGAAGTAGAGTTACAGATAGTAAGAGAGAGAGACAAAGAGAAAGGTCTTCCTTCCGTTGGTTCACCCCTCCCCAAATGGCCACCGCAGCCAGCACTGCGCTGATCCAAAGCCAGGAGGCAGGTGCTTCTTCCTGGTCTCCCATGTAGGTACAGGGCCCAAGGATTTGGGCCATCCTCCACTGCCTTCCCGGGCCACAGCAGAGAGCTGTACTGGAAGAGGAGCAACCAGGACTAGAACCCAGTGCCCATATGGGATGCCGGCACTGCAGGCAGAGGATTAACCTAGTGAGCCACAGCGCCGGCCCTGTTCTTCACATTCTTATGTTCTCTGTTTACTTTGTTTCACTTACCACCATCTCAGTTTTCTTCTGCTGTTGACATCTTTTTATTTTTTATGAATTTACTGATAAGAGCTCATCTGTCAGGTGTCCAAGAAACTGTTCCAGATCCCCTCTGTGTTTGTACTCATTTAAAAGGCAGAGTTTGGGGTCGTCACTGTGGCGCAGCAGGTTAAAGCCCTGGCTTGAAGCGCCAGCATCCCATATGGGTGCCGATTCAAGTCCCAGCTGCTCCTCTTCCAATCCAGCTCTCTGCTATGGCCTGGGAAAACAGTAGAAGATGGTTCAGGTCCTTGGGTCCCTGTACCCGTGTGGGAGACCTGGAAGAAGCTCCTGGCTCCTGGCTTTGGGTCGGTGCAGCTCTGGCTGTTGCGGACAGTTGGGGAGTGAACCATCGGATGGTAGACCTCTCTCTCTCTGCCTCTCCTCTCTGTGTGTAACCCTGACTTTCAAATAAATAAATCTTTAAAAAAATAAAAATAAAGGCAGAGTTAGAGAATCTTCATCCACTGGTTCATTCCCCAAATGGTTGTGACTGTCAGGGTTGTGCCAGGCTGAATCCAGGAACCAGGAGCTTCTTTCAGGTCTTCCCTGTGGGTGCAGGGACCCAAGCACTTGGGCCGAGTTCTGCTGCCTTTCCAGGTGCATTATCAAGGAACTGAATCGGAAGTTGGAGCAGCCAGGACACAAACTGATACCCATAGGATACCCACAGGGGATGCTGGCATTGCAGGCGGCAGCCTTAACCTCTGCGTGACAACAGCAGCCTCTGAATTTTGACCATTGTGAAGCTGGCTGCTGCTGAACTCGCAAAGCAGTCAAACTTGGTTATATATCAACAAGATGGCATGTTAGCCTCTTTATACTGATGATCCTCCTATCCCATTTCCCTTTCTCTGTCATATTTGTATATCCTTGGTACTCTTTAGGAATAATTTTTCCATATTACGGAGTCATAAAACCTGTTGGCTCTTCCAGAAAAAAAAATTTTTCTTACTAACTACCATTTCTGCCTATATCATATAGTTACAACTCTGTCATAAATGAATTTCCCTAAGTTTCTACTTTTTTGTTCATGTAGAAATCAAATCATATACTTTTTAAATTTTTTTGAGAGACAAATCTTCCATCTGCTAGTTTACTCCCCAGATGGTCACAGTGGCCAGGGTTGGGCCATTAAATTTAAATTTAACATTTCTACCTAAATATTTCCATCTTTTTGCCATTTTAAATGGTACATAATTCCCATTTGATAGGTGAAAACATTAATAAGTAACTTGTCTAAGATCACAGTTACTAAGTGACAAAACCAGACTGAAAGCTATATAAATTTATTAACTAATGTGCTGGTTTGAATTACATTGGTAGTTGTGTTATATTGGGTGGGGGTGGAAAAACCTTAACTTTTGTTTAAGATTTATTTATTTGAATGCTAGAGGGGCTGGCGCTGTGGTATAGCTGGTAAAATCACTACCTGTAGTGCTGGCATCCCAGACTGGTGCCGGTTCGAGTGCCAGCTGCTCCATTTCTGGTTCAGCTCTCTGCTATGGCCTGGGAAAGCAGAAGATGGCCCAAGACCTTAGGCCCCTGCACCAGAGTGGGAGACCTGGAAGAAACTCCTGGCTCCTGGCCTCAAATCAGCACAGCTCTGGCATTGACAGCCATTTGGGGAGTGAACCAGCGATGGAAGACCTCTTTCTGCCTCTGCCTCTGCCTCTGCCTCTGCCTCTGCCTCTGCCTCTGCCTCTGCCTCTCTAACCTGCCTTTCAAATAAATAAATAAATCTTTAACAAAAAAGGGGGGTGTGCAGAGAGAGATCTTCATCTACTGTTTTTCTTCCCAAATGGCTGCAAGTTCCAAGTCTGGGCCAGGTCAAATCCAGGAGCTAGAACTCCATCCGGGTCTCCAATGTGGGTGGCAGGGTCCCAAGCACTTGAGCCATCTTCTACTATCTTCCCAAGCACATTAGCAGGGAGCTGGATCAGAGGTGGAGCAGCCAGGACTCAAACCAGCACTCAATGGGACAACCTGTTTGTTGTGCCTCACTCTGCCCCTTCTTCTGCTTTCCCAGGCACTTTAGCAGGAAGCTGACTCTAGTGGAGCAGCCAGCATTGAACCAGATCTCCATATGGGATACCAGCATCTTAATCCACGTTGTTACCTGCTGCATGACAACGCTGGCCCCATAACTTCTCTTTTCAAGAAAAACTGCTGTGTGCCTCCCTAACAGTATCCCCCCACATTTTCTAAGCTTCAGTTTTGTAGGTCTGTTCAGATGATAAACCATGCTCATTTTTGACATCTCCTATCAATACCAGTGAACCAGTGGCTTTTCTGATAGTATGCCTTAGTCTGCAGCTTATTAGTAGGATTTATTTCAGTAAGAAGGTCTATCTTTAGGCTTTTAAAGGCTGTTCATTTGCTCACCAGATGAGGTGCAAGGACATGATTCTTTTTTTAAGTAACAGCTAGTCTGGAGGCACACATTTGTTAATTATACCAAGACTCATAATAGATGCATATACATGACCAATGGTGGAATAAAAGCTTTCACCTGGTTGAGGTTACAGGCAGCCACACTCCTACTTTCATGTTTTAAAGTTCCTTTTTTTTCCCCCTAAGATTTATTTTATTTGAAAGGCAGAGCTAGGGAGTGGGAGAGGGAAGAGAGACAGGGTATCTTCCATACACTGTTTCACTCCCAAAATCGCCAGAAAGGCCAGCGCTGGTCCATGTAGAAGCCAGTAGCCACGAACTTCATCTGGGTGGGAGCACTGGTGCCATCTTCAGCTGCCTTCCCAGGTGCATTAGCAGGGAGCTAGATCAGAGCTGGAGTAGCCAGAACTCAAACTGGCACCCACCCATTAATGCTACAATGCCAGCCTCTGGAGTTCTTTTAATAGATTGATGATATTGAATGGAACATGAGAAGGGCTCTGAGCATGGAGAAACCTGTCAACATTAGAGAACTTTGTTGCACAGGTTGGTGGGAGTCCTTAGGAAAGACCAGTTAAGAAATGGCCGACAGGGGGAAATACAATATGGATATGGTGGAGTGTAGGAAAGTAAAACACAGGTCAAGTCTGAGTCCCCTTTCCAAAGGCAAGGAATTGAAGAGTTAAATGCAGTATTAGGAATTAGTGTTGCACATTAAAGGCATTTTCATTTGGAATTTCTTCTGCGTTTTTATTGGCATTTTGATAGGTGAATATTTTAGCCAGATGAACAAATTTATAATTTTAATTTGCTGCACTTCCTGAAGAGTACTTTCATGTTTTTCACTGATTTATAAATACTTTTTTGACTTGTGTCTTGATTTGCATTTTAGGTTTCTTCATGAAGGATGGGAATAAATGCAAATGGAAAATCAGGTAAGTGCTCTTATAGTCTTATCTGGAATCTCCGAATCAAAACATTGTTCTTTAAACCTTTTTATTTTCAGGTAACAGTATCAGTAGTTACTATAGTAAGGCACTCAATTCTTAAGTTCTGTATTCATGTCAGTAAAATGTACCAACTGTTCCTTTTGCCCAGAGGCAGCCACATCTCAACAACAGCCACAGTGTTGCCCCTAAATTTATTAATCTCTGTGTGGTGTGTATGACCATTAACTGTTGTCTTTCATAGTAGCTGTAGAGCTAGGGTTGTGTGTGTGTGTATTTCAGATAGTTTAAATTTGGCCTGGATGTTCCAATTCGAACCAGTTTTATTTTCTAAAGAGTTCTGTCAGGTATAATAAGAACTTAGTTAAGTTACACTCAGGACACAGTAAGAGGATTCATACTTTAGCCATTCCTATACTTCACTAACTGGAGACAAACTTTTCTGTCTTTAATTAAATTCAGATGTTTTTCCAAGGCTGGTACTTTTATCATTCTCAGGTAGATGTGAATTTTAAAACGTAGTTGGCAATTTTATATAAAAAACTACGGTAATGAAATTCTAGTTTTTCAGTTGATTCTATAGCAGCCATCCTATTCAGGCATAATTTGCTAAACGGCATACATGCTCAAAGTCCAGCAGTATGCTACAGTTAACTCAGTGATGAGATTACCTTCTTAGGAAAGCCTAAGCATGAGCCCAATAAGGGTGTGTGTAGCTAGCCTGAATTCAGGCTGTTTGTTCCTCCTTTTAGTACTGCTGTTGAGGTTATGACAGCTGTTTATTGGTCCTTAAAATCCACGCCTCACCACAAAAAAATGAAAGTACCCATGACTGGCATGTTTGATAGTTGCTTTTGAAAAAAAACTATCACAAACTGATTTTTAAGAGATTAATTTATTTGAAAGAGCAGCATGCCACAGAGAAATCTGCTGCTTCATTCCCCAAATAGTCGAAACAGTTAGGCCTGGGCCAGGCTGAAGCCAGGAGGTAAGAATTCCATCTGGATTTTCCTACCAGGGCCTAACTGCTTGAGCCATCTTCTACTATCTTCCCAAGCACATTAGCAGGGGGCTGGATCAGCGGTGGAGCAGCCAGGACTCAAACCAGCACTCAATGGGACAACCTGTTTGTTGTGCCTCACTCTGCCCCTCCTTCCCCCTGCAAACTGAAATTCTGTATCACATCTACAGTTTTAACTGTGGCTGGTGATCAACCATCATTTTACTAAATTATTTATGTGGGTAACACATGGATGCTCCTAGTGAAGCCCAGCAAAAATGAGATTTTTTAAAGGGATGGAATGGGGCTTTAAGTTTGATCCAAAGCCTCTATTTGCAATATTTTAACTAAGGAATTTTTAAGTAGCATATACCTTTATTTCAATATAAATGTTCTCAATCCCACCCATTTTGTCAAACAGATAGTAACCAAACTTCAGTAGTTACAAGACAAAAATTTAATGAAAATTGATCAGTGGGTTATTTATAATCCACAGGCTAAATATCACAAGACGGTAGTAGAAAGATGCGGAAGTAATTGTTACATATTGTCATCATCTGATTCATCTTCTTCCTTCAAAGATTCCTATTAAGAGAAAAAAGTAGCACTTAAAATCAACTTTAAATATTGTTACAGCCCACATGTAACAGCAAGTTAAGATACAGTAACCTGAATTTAAGCATTTATTAATGGTAACTGAAATTTAGGATGAAATTCAACTATATTCTTGTTCTGAAGATCAATGGATACTTGATGTATCCTGAAAAACCTTACAGTTTTCCCCAAGGGAAGAGTTGAATTTGGAAATGTGTTACTTAATTTGTTAAGTAACAATACATCATTTTGGTTAGGTGACTTACCTTAGCATATTTCTCTGCTTCTTCTCTTACATCTTTTGGAACAATTTCATGCCTTCCTTTAGTTACTGTAAATTAAGCCATATATTTAAATAAATTTAAAATGCTTTCCTATAAGTGATAGTCATTTGACCTTATTTTTTAAATGTTTCCTCATGAGATTTTATGTGCTCAAATTTTTATAAATTAATCCCAAGCATTAATTCATAGCATGAGATCAATTTTGGGCGATTTCTTAGATATTTCAAAAGAGATCTTCACAAACTCTGTTAAATACACAGAAATTACTTACATTCACCAACCCAGCTGAGCTCTAACTCAAAAGCTTTATCCTTAACTTCATCATGCACTATGTAAATTCTAGAAGGAAAAAACACTGGAGTCAGTGACCAAAACACTGCAGTTTACATACCCAGTCAGTACAAATTAGATTACCATCCGTACCACAAGTTAAAATTATGTAGGCTGAAATCTGAATTACGAATATCAGAATAAGCTACAGAGGACTTGAAATAGACTGGAACACTTTCATTCTCCTCATAAATACTAAATGATAATTTGTTTGGCTTATTTTGATATACATTGCTTAAAAGCCATAAAAATCATCTCAAGAATACAGAAATGGGTAAAGTCAGGGTCACCACCTGAAGCCAGTAATGGGCAGGCAGCAGGTTCATGTCCCAGCTGCTTCACTCCAACCAAGCTCCCGGACATGAGAAAACCAATGGAAGATGGTTCACTACACAGAAGACCCAGATGAAGTTCCTGGCTTGAGCCTGGCCCACCACTGGCTGTTGCAGCCGTCTGGGGAGTATAAATCAGCACGTGGAAAATAGTCTCATTTGTAACTCTTGAAATAAATCTTTAAAAACTTAAACATAAATGGGAACCAGGCCATCATTAACCATCCCTTCTCAGGACACTATTTTCTTTCATTAAGGAAATAAAGCCTAATAATTTATGTGCCCTATATAAGAACTTTTATTACATATCCGAAAAAGTAAAGCCTATATTTTTATATAAGTGAGCCAGCCTTATGGATCATGTATAGAAATAATTAACTTGTAAATCACACGATAAATAAAGTTTCTAAGCTTTCTTGGTAGTGTTTTGATTATTGTTATTTTGGGGATGTTGAGAGATTTGAGGTGGTGGAAGTTAACAAATGAAGCCCCTACGAACATTCACTATGTCCTTCACGCGTTAAATCCCGTTGCCCACACAGGAGCTTGTTTTCTCAGCATTCATTCTCATTCTTGAAATACTCATTTTCTTCATGAGGATTCTTAGAATGTTAAATTCTCTTCAAAAAATTACACACTGCTATTTTCAACCAAAATAGCCTCATATATATGCCAAGACAATGTGAAATATCTTTGTGGATAGTTAAGGAATATTTGAACTTACATTTTGGCAACTTCTTTAACAACATCACGGCAGGTCATTTCTTTCATCTACAGAAAATAAAATTATACATTTTCCATTTGTGTAACTGCACAACTGTTAGCACTAACTCATGGTCAAGATAGATTCTCAGATGTAAAAACAAAGAAATTCCAAAAAGATAAATTTCCTGATTTTTATTATTATTTTTAAATTAACATGCCAAAATTCATATTGGAGATAACCACTAATTTTCTGGTAAAACTTAGATAAGCCCAAGTCTAATTCTTAAGTAGACCCAGAGCAAAAGCTTGGTCATACTAGAATTCAACATACTTGGAGGGACTGTTGGGAAATCAGAATAGAAAAATAGCCTGTAAGCACTAACCATAACAAGTAAAGTAACCTGTAAGAAATCACTGCAAGAGATTTATTAATCATACACGTTTCAGGGTCAACGCAAAGTCTGAGCAAAGTGACATTTGTGTTGTGGATACCTTGAGATAGAGAACGTCAGAGAGTACTGAACACAGTAATCCAGACTTAAATGTCGTTCAATTACTGCAAATGGGGTTCATGATTTTTACTAATTCATTTTAGAAATCCTAAAGTTCAAATGATAGCTGTACAACCATCTGAGGAAGAAAAACACAACCCTAACACTGAGTTTAAGGATACAAATCTTGGGGCTGGCATTGTGGTAAGGCAGGTTGATCTGTTGCCTGCAACACTGGCATCCCATATGGGTGCTGGTTCAAGTCTTGGCTGCTGTACTTCACATCAGCTCCCTGCTAATGCACCTGGGGAAAAGGTGCAAGATGGGTCAGGTGCTTGGGTGCCTGCACCCAAGTGGGACACCTGGAAGTTCCTGGCCCAGCCCCAGACATTGCAGACACTTGGGGAATTAACCACCAGATGGAACATGGATCTCTGTCCATCTTGAAACACTGCCTTTCAAATAAATAAATCTTTTGTCTCAGAACAGCACGTTGGTACAACCGCAAAAGCAACATAAAATATTCTGTGAGGACAAAGGGTAGTTTAAAAGAGATGTAAAATAAGAAATTCAATGTGAACCTTGATAGTATAGTTCAAAGTTAAAGACACTGTGGAGACTGAGGCAGTTCAGTTATGGAATATAAGATGATGCTTTAAGTATGATATGGTATGGTATTAAAAGGAGATGAGTGATGATGCACTCAGATTCAGTGTCACCGCTGCAACTTCTCATAGTTTAGGGGAAAAAACAAATGGATAAAATATAGGGAAAAGTCTAAATAGACTTGTAACATTCTTAGCATTAATCAGTTATACTTTTTCCATTCTAAACTAGAGGTAAAAGGAAGGGAAACAGTACTTTCCTATTTTTGCAAGTCTGTTGTAGTGTCAAGGCAGCCACAGATTAAACAGTAAATGCAGTTGTGTTCCAAAAGAACAGTTTATTCATCAGTTAAAGTCAGCTTTCTAAATTTTTAGCTGAGATTTATTGTTTTCCCCCTTTCTTACATGGATTTAGCCACAGAAAGATGTCCACATAGTATTATGGAGAGATGAAATGGAAAACAGAGTAAGGTGGGGAACTCAGCAGCACATCAGGAAGTGTGATGGACAAGCAAGAGTGGTTAAGATCTGAATACCGCTGACAGCCAACTTACTGTGACGCTAGGCACTGGGCTGCACTTGAGCTAAGTGATCTGCAAAGTCTCTGTCAGTTTAGTAAAATGCCAAATATGAATTTAGCTTTATAGGGACTTTGAGTTTATATTAAGTAAGTGCAAAACACTAATACAAATTTTCTAGAACCTGGCCTTAAATAATTGGAGAGTAATTAGTTGAGCAAGGTCCTATTATAGCACTAATATTAGATGTGTATGAAATTTTATCTCACTGTAATTTACTGAAACACTGACGAATCATGTATCTGCCTTTTAGGGAAGTTTCTCATAGGTAAGCAATAAATTCTTCGGGATCCTGATCAATATTAAGTTGATCAATTTATGTTTAAAAGGATAGCACGTTTTCATGAAAACTTCATGTGATAACAGCTGGGTTCTGGCTCTGGGAAGAAAAAGTGGGTAACTGTAACAGGCTAGGCGTCTTGCTCTAGCTAGCAGCAAGGTAAAGAGAAGCCCTGAGATCACAGACAGACACTGTCCCGAAGAAATGTTACAGAAAAAAAATACTACGTGTGACTTTTTATGACAGTAACTCAGAATTAAAAACACGCTACAGCTTGTGAAGCCATAAATGGGCTTCATGAAAGATTCTTTTTTTTTCTGTTTTGTGGGTTTATAGCAACCATAAAAATCAGAGGGATCTACAGCACAACTGTACATACGTTACCAGCTTTCCTACTCAGTACTTAGCTGCACAAAGCTCTGCTCTAAACAACCAAGCCACACTATAACCGTGGGTGAGGAAATTAGGCACACGAGGCAATTCAAAGATGGTGCCCAAAGGAAGTAAGGTGAGCGGAACCCAAAGTTGTTTACCACCAAAGCTAATTGGCCACACAACATCAGGGGAGGTGACAACAACTAATGACAAGTGTATAGACATCTGGTTGGTCCTGTAAAAAAATCGCCCGTAAAATGGCCTTTTAAGTAATTGGTTGGTCCTTATGCCCTGCCCCAACAGTCCTGCGGTTTTGTGCTTTAAAAGGCTTTGCTACGCGCACAATAAACGAGTTCTTGCCTAACTTGACTCCCCGCTGCGTCTGTCTCTGGGATCAAGGGAGGCTGGGGAACAGGCGAGCGGCGCACGTACCTTTCCTCAGACCCAGTCCATCCTCGTTTGGGTGGACCAAGACCCTGCAACCTTGAACTGAAAGGTTTGCTTTATGGTAATAAAACTTCAGCACATGAGGATGGTGAGGAGGTAGCAAAGGTTAAAGCATTAAATATTACCTGAAGCTTCTCTATTTCTGTCTTTGCTGCTTGCCTGGCTTTGCCAATGGCACAGCCCCAATAACCCTATTTTAAAAAAATACAAAAAAAGAGAACAGAATAATCACCTGATTGTCATACATTCATCAATAGTGACCACTGCTGTTTCTACTTGCAAGTTAACCAAAGGATAGTAAATTACTTTTAAAAGCAAGTATGGAGTAATACAGTCAAATGCATCCTGATGAATGTCAGAGAGGGTCAATAAATAAAGGTTTGGGCACTGTGGCAACAAGTTAAGTTGCCCGTTGGGAAGCCCGCATCTCAGAGTGCCTGGTTGGAGTCTGCCACTCCACACTTCCAGAGGCAGCAGTGATGGCCCAACTATGGATTCCTGTCACCCACGTAGGAGATCAGATAAAGTTGTTGGCTCCTGGCTTTGACCTGGCACAACCCCAGCTGGTGTTGGCATTTGGGGAGCAAAAAGGTAATGGAAGAATTCTTCCTTGTTCTCCCTATTAGATCTTTAAAAAAATATATATATATTAAACTGGGGCCAGCATTGTGGCACAGCAGGTAAAGTTGTCACCTGAGATGTCAGCATCCCATATAGGCACTGGTTCGAAACCTGCCTGGAACTTCCGTTCCAGCTCCTTGTTAATGCACCTGTCGAAGCAGTGCAGGATGGCCCAAGAGCTTAGGCCTCTGCACCCACATGAAGACCAGAAGAAGCTCCAGGTTTCAGGCTTCAGACCTGCCCAGCTCTGGCCATTGTGACCATTTGCCAAGTAAGCAGATGGAAGCTCTCATGGGATCTCTCACTCTCTCTAAATTCTGCCTTTCAAATAAATATTTAAATAAATAAATAAATAAACTACTAAACTTGATTTGCAAAGATTCTGGTTTCTTTTGTTCTCATTTAAAAATTATTTTGATGCTTAATAACTGTGCTTATGAGTTACAGTGCAGTTTTTTGTCATGCACACATTATAATGGTGAAATCAGGGTAACGAGCATTTCCATTTCCCTATTTCTTTGCAGCTTTTGCCTGAAAGTTCCTCTCTTGCTAGTTCTTCATAAAATATATATTGTGTTACTGTGAACTAGTCACCCCAGATGTTATCGAATACTGAAAAGTATTCCTTCTACCTAACTGTGGTTGGTATCCATTATCCAGCCCACTTTATGCTATCTGTCCCCCATCCCTCCTAGCCTCTAGTTAATTGCTGGTTTGCATTCAGATCAACTTTTTTTTCTAAGCTTCCACCTAACAGAAAACAAGCAGTATTTCTTTTTGGTGTCTGACTTATTTCCCTAACTCATCTCTTCCATTTCGGTTCCTTTTTAATAGAAGTTTTATCTAAAAGAAAATTATTTCATCATATACTTTTGAACTAGAGACATTTCTTTAGGGTAAGAATGAATGAAGGGTAAAAATGAAAAACTTTTGCATTATGACAAAACTAAAGATATACATTTCTCATACAAGTCTCTCCCCTTCTGTAATTCCAACTTTCAAATAAGTAAATAAATCTTTTAAGTAAATAAACTTCTTACTTTTATGTTAACTTTTTCAAAAGTAAGGATGCCACATATACTTTTGTAATAACAAAATGAGTTACACATTCACTATGTAGTTTCCTATAAGGTATTGAAAGCTACACATTTGCTGCTGCCTCATATTCTTAAGAAAATACTGCTTTACTGGTAATGTTTTGAAGATTCCTTACACAATGTAAATACGAAGCAATGCATTAAACTAGAAAAAAATTTCAGATGATTCAATATTACTCACGTATGAAACACCTGACGGGTCAATCATGTACAGCTGTGCGCCATCATTCACACTGTAAGACCCTAACATGAAACTGCATAAAAATAAATTGTTATTTATGTAATGCAAATATGTATCTACCATCATTATTTTAAAACCTTTCCTTTCCTGTGCTGAAACTCCTTAGCAGGAACCAGAGACTCCTGTGTGACCTGGCCCATTCTTGCATCTTTGGTGTTACCTGTAACCCTTGGACTGTACACATCGCCTTAGTGTCACCGGAAATGCACATGTACTTATCCAAGTCTGATATGAAACTGGTGGAATAAATATTACCAACTGGAAACAGTCTTACCTGATTTCCCCTATATATCATACCCCTTTCCCTGCCACCTCTCTAAAACTGGCCAGACCCTAGCTGTTGACTCATGTATTCTCAGTACACATCTTTATCATGGCATGCGTAAGATTGTATCAGTGGTAACATTCTTTTGTGTCCCCAAATCTGTGACTGAGTATATACTCAGTAGATATTTAATTCAAGAGTTCTCAGCACTATTCTTGCTTCCTTAAAAACAGCAAAAAAAAAAAAAAAAAAGTTAACTGATGAACTTAGAGCTTAAATGAAAAGTTTAAAGATATTCTTCAAAGTCGAAGCAGCCATTTCACGGAGTAAGTGGGAACCTCAAGAATAATTAATGTTAAGAATATTTAACAAATATCCACAGCAGAGGTCAGACCTGTGGATATCTGACTTCCAGCCAACAGGATAAAACTGAAGGTTTCTTTAATGTCTATCTGTTAGAATTTAAATATGGCTGATTATAAACAACTCAAAGATAGGACCTATGACTAGGCATTAAGATTTAACATGTTTTATTTTGATCAAACATGACTTTTCTATTTTAAGTTGTAAACTAATTCATTTTAGTAAAATCTATTCATGACAGGTCTCTGGGAAGCCACATTTGAAAATTTACATCTATTTCCAAGTCTTCATACAGTTGAATCCCCCATTTCCCCTTAAATAATACTCAAAATAAATAAAAGTCTGACTAATGGGAACTGTGAAGTGGATTAAAGTATGGATTCATTACTGACTGCTAAAAATTCCATTTAAAAGCATTCTACTTACGCACTTTAAATCAGATGGAAATTAATGAGAAAATAAGTGTAAGTGGCTACTTTATGTCAACATGGAACATATTTACAAATCAGCTCATGGTTTCCTTTATTATAGTCAAGGTTAGGGTCACTGCTGTGAGTAGTTTCCCACCACTTTGGATAGTTTTTATGTGTAGTGTTTCATGTACTTGCTGCCTAACATTTCCTGGCGAATGTTCATGTATTTAAAGCAGCTGGAGAAAACTGTGTTCTACAGCACATAGGACATTTGAATATCTTACTAAATTTCATACCTGCATCCAAAAGGTCTGACAGCACTGTAGAGGGTGTAAGCATGGACATACATGGCCACTCTGTCTGCAAGATGCTAACATGGGGAAACAGAAGAGCTTATTAATAAACTCCTCTTACTGTTGAAAAGGTTCTTCAATATGTTATCAACTTACTTTTAGTGGAATATTATAGCCAAAGTTAGATCTAAAGTTGGAAGCTTCTTCTCTTGCAATGTCTGCTAAAGAACGAGCATCTGCCAGCAGTCCTGCTACTGCCTGAAAAGAGAGAGACCAATTTAACATCTAAGTACTTTCCTATCACAAATCAGGAAACACACAATTTCTGAGGGCTTCAGTTTTATAAAGGCATTATCAATTG